TTTTTAGCTTTGGGGTCCAGATTATAGATCATTCCGGATTATGGGTGTCCGAATTAACGACTTTTGACTGTAATAGATTACATGCTAAGCTTTTTTTTTAATTTAACTATTAATTTCTGCAAACATTTACACGATTGCTTTAATTAACGAAAAATATTTCTAGCACACTTTGATATGGAATAATTTTTTGCACTCTACTAAATTTTCCAGTCTAGTTCAGACATCTTGACTATTATTGATGTAATTTATTAAAAATATAATTTGTATGCTTTATAATTATTTAATTTATGATATTATTATCATAAATGAAAGATGTTTATAATGCTAATATGTATGTTTACAAATACCTTTTATTTTCTTTGTTAGCTCTCGCATTTATTACTGTTATTCAAGTAATTAGCCTGCTTGTTAGATATTTTTTACTTGTTCTTGTGATATATAACTCTATTTATTTATTTTTATTTTCCTCTTGGCTACAATTGGCTTCGAAAAGTTAAATTGTAACCCTGTAGGCAGCAGGGAGGGGGGAAGAAAATTTTGATTGGCGCAGTTGGACTATAGCTCGACCTGGGGGGGGATTTTCATTAGCGCAGTTGGAGTACACCCATACAGGCATTATTCTATATACATATATATATATATATATATAATACAAAAATACAAAAAGAAAAAAAAAAAAATCTAAAAACTTTCAGATTTTGTATTACACCTAAAGGGGCATTTTTTTTTAATGCTTTGTGTGTTACCTTTATTTATTAAATATCATGTTCTTTGCACTTAAACCATAAAATTCAATTCAACAGCAATATCACAAACTATTTAAAAGAATATATCTTTAGAATTTCTGATACATGGTCTCCCACACTGAAGATAAACTTTTCCGTATAGTGTTATGATTACTTGCATGGAAATCGTTGAGTTTTAAATCAAAAACTCATAAATGCTTTAGAAAATATGAAATAGATAATAAAACAAATTATAAAATTGGGCTTCCAGATGCTATATCTATTCGGGCGGAGATGGACGTTATTCAAAATTTTATGGCTCTAGGTTGTTTCATCACAATGCGAGAAACATACATACATTTATGCAGATTCTTCATTATTTAATTTCTTTCAATATAATATTAATATTTGGTAGCAACAATTTAAAAAGTGACTCACCATTTATAGTGAATCAACACAAAATGCCAAAACGAAATTAATAGCTCTTCTGGGCTAACGGCCTTTGGGCTAATAATAAAAAAGTGCTGTGGGCACCCTAATACATGCTTATTCACTTTAAACTCACTATCAATTTTTTTCAGCAGAAAACATTACCTCACTTAAAGGTATTATTTATAAATAATACCTTTAAATGAGGTATTATTATAAATACTTTCATTTAATATAATATTTGGTAAAATGCATTCTTTGATAATGACATAAGTTGAAAGAGATGGAGAGGCAAAACCTTGGTCTCACCCACTAGTAGCGGAATTCATAAGATGCATATATATTGCTAGTTATTCTAATTTTCAGTTGCAGATTACTAAATGAGATAGCTACAGTGGGTTTATGCAAACTTCCTTACACGCCTTGTAAATATGAGCCATTTCCTTTAAGAATGTCCTTTACAAAGGTATCTCTTTTAACACCTGAAGTAAGGCCTTCAGTCATGGTGTTATAATAAATGCCTTATTCATATCATCTAACACAAAATTAATAGGAATAAGGGCATCAACTCTTTAATCATCAGTATAACCTTTAACACAGAGGTGAAGGTCTATATGACCGCACCAATATTTTAGAACTACGAAATTGCTTATAAGTTATATAGTTTTTCTTGTCTTTTTCAGTACTTTCAAGTTCACATAAAATATAACTATTCTTAAATTTTTATTAAACTCTAGATATAAGTTTTTTTTAAAAAAATAATTTTATTAATTGGGCCATGGTCATATAGACCTCACCTCAGTGTTTACGTTAATTTTTTTCGGCATGAAGGGGAGATGACTTTACTACTACTTGAGTGTCAAACTTGTACAAGAACATAATTCTAGACGTTTGACATATGTTGGCACTATAAATAAACTATGACAGAAATACCAGGTGAATTTTTTCCAAATAAAATTAAAAGTGAAGGATCTTCTTGTTATGCATTCACCGATAGAATGACTCTCGTTTCATATATATCTCAAAAATTAAAAAGTATTATTCTCATTTCTTCAATGCTTCACTCAAAATCATAAGACCTTGAAGCTAAGAAACCAGAAATAATAACATATCACAATGTGACTAAAGGAGGTGTAGATACACTGGATGAAAAACGTTCTAAAAGTTCTACAAGGCGATGGCCAATGGCCATATTCTTTAGGTTACTTGATGTAAGTGGAATTAATGCACATGTAATACATCAATCGTTAAGACATAGTGCAAAATTGAAAAAAAAAGAAAAAAAAAACTGATTTTTGATGCATTTATCATCAGAATTAGTGAAACCACATATGGAACGGAGGCTTCAAAAAGCCAACTGTGAACCGAGAAATAAAAATGTGCATTCAGAGAGTGCTAGGAGTTTCCAGTGGAATCTATTCTAGCCCAGATGTAACTGGTACCCCTGAAAAGCATAAAACATGCTTTTTCCCTCTCCTATACTGTAAAGAAAAACTACATATTTATGTTTCAGCTTCAAGAATCTGATATGTAATGAATGTGCTAAGAGGATTTGCAAAAATTGTGTTGAAAATGCTTAAAATAATGTGCTGCAGTTTTTTTAATATTCTTTACATATTATATTTTTTGTATTATTTTATATAATCCAGACTCTGTAGATGGAACTTATTAAATAGTTTAATTTCTATGCATTTGCAAGTAAGTAGTGCTTATTTTATTTATTTGATTAAGTGTTCCGTGCCTTTCTGTATGTAATTTAAAAATTAATTTTTAATGCGTTAATTACAGAATTTAAAAAAGAATTAATTACTTCATTATAACAAGTAAAGTGTACTAATGCTTATCTATAGTAACAATAATACATTATTTAAAAATTTTTATATTTTTAAAATACAGCACGGTCTGAGAGATCCCTCCTCTGTGTTTACGTAACAGTAAATGAACATCTATACTTAAGGGTTAATAATGGGCATACATCACTCTAAAGTTAATGACACAGTAGCAAGATGACAAAAATGGAACATGAAAATAAAATAAAATGAAAGTTTACATTTTGAATTGAAAACTGCTTTTAGTTTAATAAACAAAAGCTCGTGCAAATTTGCATCTTTATAGTATGAAACAGGTAAAATTGCTGAAAAAATTATTCTTCTCATAATAAGAAATGTAAATTTATTATTCACATGTATGATATGTAATGTGAACTAAAATCCTGAAATGCATTAATTCATAATATAAAATATTTAATTGTATGTAAACTGAAAAACTCAAATTTCTAAGGAGTGAAACTAGTCAAGATATAAACCATTTAACTTGTTAAGAGAACTAAGTTACTAATAATCATGCAATTATTTTGCCTTTCTTAAGAATAACACCCATTGTTACCACTTTAAAAAACCAAATCAATATCTTTAAAGAAATTCAACTTGAAAAACACTCATATCTTAAAAAATGAGTATTGATTAAGGCAAAATAGTATAAATAAAAGATCATAAAATTATTATAGATAAGTGCAATCTGCATAAAACTTGAAAAAAATTAAATATATAGCATTTTACATATATGCTATAGTTAGATTTTATTTTTAATGCAAATAACAGCATACACAAAAAGTATAGTTAAAAATTTTGTAACTGAGATGCATATCATATGTTATCAGAAATTTCTTTTATTAATTATACTAATGGCATAGAAATCAGAGAAACTCATTCTAAAATGCAAGCCAGATGACCTTTTACACTATGAAGGCATACAATGAAGAAGGAGAAAATTCCTTATACATTAGCTTAAAATATTGAAGATTATTTTTTCATTATAAAACTAATTTAAATGTAAAACATACTGCTAATAAAATAAGAAGCAATTAACAGAAATGTCCATAGCACAGGATGTAAAATGATTGCAACATTTATAGTTCTTCACTTCCTTTCTTTAGTTAATTACAACAATGCATTAAATTTTCATAAGTTTACCTCCAAAATTATTTTCTTTCTATTATTAAATTTTCAGTTTTACTCTTAAACATTCTACTTCAGATAATAATTTGCTCAGAATTTAAAGCATTGTTTATAGCAATCACTGATCCTCAAAAATGAATCTAACCATTTCATATTAAGGAATACAACACCTAAACTAATAATTAATTTCTCTTTAAGAATTATTTGTCTCTGCAGCATGCATTTATCTTTTTTTAATTATACAATAGTTGCATTAGCCAGCAAACTGGATAATTTTGAAGTTTTTCACACTCACAAAGCTTTTACATTTTAATGTTTTCAAATACTTAAAATTTTCATAATTAAATAGCCTTTTCCCCATATTTTCTCAATAGGTGATACTGCTTTTTCTACAAGAGATAGTGCTAACACACCAAAGTTTTTATATTTTGATTTCTTGCATCCTCTATTAAATTCTAAAGAAGCTAGAACAGTTTTTCTCTTTCAAGACATAACTTGTTTAACAACCTTTTCTTGGGAATGAACCCCAATATCCACCGTGGGGCCAATGAAAGTGATTAAGAAAGACTCGTTAAAGACAAACCACCTTTGGGAGTGTTCCCATCTTGTTAAAGTAAAAGAAAAGGTGCTTTTGTCTATGAAATGACGAGAGAGTAAGATGTGTTCAACCATCGGGGAAGCTGTTATCTTCACATTCTGTAACAATGTTATAATGTTACTTTTTTAACTAACCACAAAAGCCTATGTTAAGTTTAAATAAATCTAAAAGACAACCCATCTAGTTATTTCTATCCCGGAAGCCCAGCAACATTACACCAGCAACATTTAATTGTATATTACATTAATTTGTTCAAATTTATATTGCAGTTTTTCTCTCTGGGATACATACTTAGTTATTTCTTTTGTAGCTTCCATTAATCTTCTAGATGTGGCAAGTAAAAGAGCAATTGTTAGCTCAGCTGTAGCATCTGTTAACACATCTGGAGTATTTCCTACATGAACACCCCTACATAAAATAAATAAATATTAAAAACATTACACAAATAAGAAAACACAAAATTCATACAAATTTGCAAGCTTAAGCAAAATGTAACATTAATAATATTGTTACGAATTTAGTATTTAAAAAGCTAATGTTAGTTTAATTATAAATTAAATGGTTTTATTTCTCGCGCAGTGCAGCGCGAATTTGAATATTAAAAGAAAGCTAAGCCGGAAAATTGAAAATACAAGAGCGCGTGCATTAAATAAATAAATATCTCTTTTTGATTTCGAAAAAGTGCTGGAAAATTCTAGCGCGTGATTTTAAAATCTTATAAAAGGAGGAAAACATCTCAGTTTGTAGTAGTTGCTTAGTTTGTTGTTGTTTAGAAAACTGCTCTTGTTGATTGTAGCGAATTCGCGGATTAGCGTTCTTTAGCTGTTTTGAATTACGTTCTATTGGACATTTGAGTAGTTAAAAGATAACTACTGTGAGATATTGTAATACTGCATGATAATTTGAGAAAATTTAAGCATTTTTGTTGTGATAATAATAAATTTTTTTTGTTCATTTTTCATCGGACTTGTGCATTCATTTCATAACGAACCCGTACGCACGCAACAATTTTTGGTGTCAGGAGTGGGGTTTGAATGCCAATAACAAGAGCGATGGAAGAGCAATTAAGGCAGTTAATATCAGCCTTTGCCTCATTAAAGAAGAAATTAAAGAAAATGAAATTGGGCCAGGAATCCGTTAAGGAAGAAATGAAATTGGGCCAGGAATCCGTTAGGAAGAAATGAAATTGGGCCAGAATCCGTTAAGGAAAATGAAAGCCGTTCAAGCTGGTCAAGAAGAAAAAAGAGAAATTACTTGCATAATAGAAAATAAATTTGAAGCTATGGAAGGCAGAATTGACGCAGTTGAAAATAAAGTTGGACATATTGAAGAAAAAGTTTCTTCAGTAAAAGATCATATTGAAGAAAGAGTTCTTCGGTGAAAGAAGAAATAAAAGAAAGAGTTTCTTCTGTAAAAGAACATATAGAAGGGAGAGTTTTTTCTGCTGTGGAGGAACGAATTGAAGGAAGAGTTTGTGCCGTCCAACACCAAATCGAACAACAAATTGATGAGAGAGTTTCTGCAGTTGCCAAAGAAATGGATACTTTAAAGAAATTCGTAACGTCGGCAGGGAGCAGGACTGATGATTTTAAATTCTTACCAATGCCTGCTCGTCCACCTCTGAAGCTATCCATGTATGATGGGAAGACCTCCTGGCAGGTGTATAGACACAATTTTCTATCGTGGCGGATGCGAATGGATGGGATTCCCAAGCTAAGGCCTGTCATCTCTCGCCGCTTCTCTAAGAGCCGACGCAGCGGATATCCTGCAGACTCTTCCCGAAAACAAAAGGTTAGATTTCGAAGCTCTGTCCGGCGCCTTGGAGTTGCGCTTTGGGGAGAAGTGTTTAAAAGACTACAGCAGGCTCCAATTAAAATCTCGTCAACAGAAGCCTACCGAAACACTTCAGGAGCTCGCCGCGGATGTTGAAAGGCTGTCCCATCTCGCCTTTTCGGAATGCCCGACAGAAACAAGGGAAATCCTGTCCTTGCAATACTTTAATCGACGGCATCCGAGATACTGAAATACAGAAAGCTCTACGAATGGCGGATGTAAAAGATTTAAAAAGTGCTCTAGTGTACGCCATGAAATTTGAGGCAGCCCAGCAAGCAACTAGTAGAGATCGCTACCCAGTTAGAGCTGTGCGAGTCCATGAGCCAGTGGATCAACTGATGGCTCGTTTAGATGATTTAGCCAGACAAGTCGAAGATTTGATACGGAGTAGCAGTGAGAACAAAGTGGCTGTAAGATGTTGGAGATGTGGTTCTGAAGGTCACCTACCACGGCATTGCAGAACACCCCAGGGCACGGATAATGAAACGGATGAGTTGACAAGACCAGTGAATGCTTTAAGACGGAATAGTGGTGAAACAAAACCGACCCTAAAGTGCTGGAATTGCGGTGTTGAAGGCCACCTACGAAGGAACTGCAGAACTCCCCAGAGCACGGAAAGTAAGGCATACGATTTAAACAGACAATTAAATGCCACGGGAAGGAAAAGGACTGACAAGAAACCAAAGTGCTGGAACTGTGGAGCTGAAGGCTACGTACGAAAGAATTGCAGAACACCCCAGGGTACGAAAATTGAGAAAATTTCTGAGCAACGACGCAGGAAACAAATTAATGACCATATCAAGGAACGGAGGTTGCCAGATAATGAAAAACCCTGTTTTAAAGCGCTTAAGATCTCTATAGTGAGTGGCAACAATAACGGACTGTCCATCAATGGGAATATCGATGGAGTTCCTTGCAATATGATCATTGACACAGGAGCTAATGTTACCATCATTAGGAAAGATTTAGCTGAACAGTTTAAAGATAAACTTATTTGGACGCCATCCTGTGTTACCCTTCAGACTGCATCTGGTGAAAAGATCGACATAGCTGGGAAGTTAAACATGAAAATCACATTTGGAAGTGCCGCCTACCATCACACGGCATATGTGGCGGATATTACAGATCCATGCATACTCGGATTGGACTTTTTAAGGAAATACAATTTTTCCTTAGACTTGAAAAACAACAAACTGCTTTCAGGATCTGAAGACATGACTATCCATCCTAAGAAGGGATCCTCACCTTGGAAATGCCGACGCTTTGTCCCGAAAGAACCAGCTCGAGAAACAGCCGAAATCATGTTAGGGTCCGAAAAGAAACACCAGACTACCAGCTATTCTCCCATCTCAGAAGCTCTTCGGTCGAGACCTTCGTCTGCCTTGTGACCGCCTGTTTAGTCGCCGTACGATGCGCCTTCATCGCCTGAGGAACACATCCAAGATGCCCAGGCCCGGTTTGAGGGGATGCACCGTTCTGCACGAAAGCGAGTCAACTTGGCGACGGAGAAAATGGAAGACCAGATGCGACACAAGAGCTACTAGACAGAGATCCAACAAAGGAGACAAGGTGTGGTTGTGGAACCCAATTCAACGAAAAAGGACTGAGTCCTAAATTACAGTCACCTTCGGATGGTCCATATACAGTGCTGAACACGAATGACGTCGTGGTTCGGATCCGTGAGTCTTCGAAGACTACGAAAGGTTAGCTTTTACTATGGCCATAGTAATATGTAATAATTGTAAATAGTAAATATAGACCATGGTCCATTTTGTATTTATATTTGATTTGCATTTAGTATTTGATTTGTATTTAGTATTTGTTTTGTATTTAGTATTTTGATAGCATTTGATTTGTTTAAGTTAGTTATTGCATTTATTGTTCATGTTGTTTGATATTGTAATGTAATGCTTATTATTGTACCGTATTTATGCCTTGTTGCAAGTTTAGCTTCCTGTCCAGGATTGTACTACCCGGGACGTGCAGTCCTTGGGAAGGGGGCAGTGTTACGAATTTGGTATTTAAATAAAAAGCTAATGTTAGTTTAATTATAAATTAAATGGTTTTAATTTCTCCGCGTGCAGTGCAGCGCGTGATTTGAATATTAAAAGGAAAGCTAAGCCGGAAAATTGAAAAATACAAGAGCGCGTGCATTAAAGTAAATAAACAAATATCTCTTTTTGATTTCGAAAAAGTGCTGGAAAATTTCTCAGCGCGTGATTTTAAAATCTTATAAAAGGAGGAAAACATCTCAGTTAGTAGTAAAAAATTGCTTAGTTTGTTGTTGTTTAGAAAACTGCTCTTGTTGATTGTAGCGAATTCGCGGATTAGCGTTCTTTAGCTGTTTTTAATTGCGTTCTATTGGACATTTGAGTAGTTAAAAGATAACTACTGTGAGATATTGTAATACTGCATGATAATTTGAGAAAATTTAAGCATTTTTGTTGTGATAATAATAAATTTTTTTTGTTCATTTTTCATCGGACTTGTGCATTCATTTCATAACGAACCCGTACGCACGCAACAATATTCATTCAGATAATAATAATTCAGGTACAAATATTATTAATGTAAGAAAAAAAGGAAGGGGGGAGGGAAAGTAGACATTTAGAATATTTTCAATTATTTTTAATATATACTGAAAATTAACAAGTCAAAAAACTTGACACATCTATGTTTTTTACATTTATTGTTTGGACTGCATCATCAAATATTGAATTTATTTTCTTTCGCTGCTATTATTTATCAATTTTAAATACCTTTTAATAAATGTAACATTTATTATCAACTATTTCCTACAGTTTCCTATTATAAATATAAGAAATTTTATTAATTCCATTCTAATAATTAGTAAAATCTCATTTGAGAGATTAATTAAAAGAAAGGACTTTATATGTCAAAAAAAGATCAGTAATTATTTCTGAAGAATGAAGACCAAGTTATTTGTCATTAAAGACATAAATTCTACTTAAAACTAAGATAAAAGATTAATTTTACCAATCACTTATACATAAAAATAATTAATGCAAATAAAAATAATTCACGTATAAATGTCACATTATAAAAATCTGTTTTTATTGATCATCTTTACCTACTTGCTTTTGGATACAAATGGATACTGTTACCTTCGTTTACATTCTTCCAAGTCAATATGATCATATCCCACAGACATTGTACCAATCGCTTTCAAAGTTGGGCCTAAACCATAAATATGCAAAATATTACTTGAAACAGAATAAGAAATATGATGCAAGGATTAAAATCAAAGTACCAATACTATTAGATGGAATAAACGAGAGTGAGTGTATTTTATCACTCTAGCCACTTTAACAATTATTTATAGACAGACTCATTTTTCAATAATCTACATTTTGTATTTTTTACATCCAAGAAACAAATAATAAATCTGATGCTTAACCATACTTTCATTACTACCATTTACAAATTTAAAAGTAAGCTTTTGTTCATTTTATCATACTTTCATATTTACAAAGTCTATAACTTGACAGATAAAATATAACACTTTGCAGATTCTGCTACAGTAAATCTGTCAAGTTGAAAGGGAAAAAATGCCACAGAAGAGCATATATTTATCATTTTCTCCCACTCAGGAAACCCATTTTTTTTAGTGGTGTATGCGTGGATCAAAAAGCCTAATACAACAGACAGATGTACTTATATGCATTTAGATTATTAGAGAGAGATTAATACTTATAAACACTCATAGAATGATGTAATTATTATTAATTATAAACTATTATAAACTACATATAATCTTTAATGTCTAAAACATGGTTTGAATAAAACATTATTATCAGAAAAAAGTCAGTATTGTTAAACATGTAAGAACAATACTTATATATTATCTTAAAATGTTATGACTTTACTTTTGTTTGCTTTCAAAAACTTATTTTAACTCCCATTCATATATTATAAATGAAAAGTTCTGAAACTATTCATATAATCTTTTTACTTGGAATTTTATTTCAGTTCTAAAAACCTTTACGTAACATGCAAAATCTATTAAATATCGCTACTCAATTACCCACATGAGTTGACTACAGACAAAAAGTAAGGATATCTTAATGGCCAATCATAAAATCAGATAATAAAAAAAAATATTAAACTGAATTTATCACAAAACAAGCATAAATGATCTGCCTCTCTATATGTGAAATAAAATAATAATGAAATCTAAACTGATATTAATAAAATATAAAAGAATTTTTACTGACCTATGAAGGTACAACAAAGGGAGGAAATTTATTAACTTATTCATATTACAAATGTGTTACTATTATTTTATATAGCTAGCACTAATGAACAGAATGTGACTCTAAATTTACCAGCTGCATCCAAAACTTCTGTGTTTATTTTTTCAGTTAACAAACAGTAGATTCCATTCTTCCCTTTGATTCTTTTTAGCAATTCATCTCGAGGAATAGGACTTGGTTTCTGCCATATTTCAACTTCACACCTATAACCAAGTAAGAAAAATAAGTAAGCTGTTGGAAACATCCAGCTTTCAAGAAATACAATATTACAATAATAAACTACAGTTTAAGTTATCATACATTGTACTGCATTTTTTACCACCAACAGCTAATGATATTCTTCTGAATTACAGAACTTGCAGAAATACACATTTTGAGATAACAGCAGAATAGTCTTAGTTAATAGTTTAGTCATTAGAAAGGAATATAATTGAAGGTTTGGATAAATAACCAGCAAAAAAAAAAAAAAAAAAAAAAGTATGTAAATATGACAGCAATATAAAATATATCTACTTTCTACAACAAGCAGGGAGAAATATGTTATTTTCAAACTCTGGAAAGTACAAAGCTATTCTTTACATACATGATCACATCTTTACTTAAAATACATGGGGAAAAAAAAAAAACTTTGGTAAGTGAAAAAAAATACTTAACATCATATATTTAAAACTATCACATAACATATTTTTAAGAGCATGTTTTTCCTAAATTTGGAATTCGCTAGATTTTCTACAAATAACACAAATATATTATTATAAATAAAAATTAATGAATTTAAATCAAGTGTTACTAAGCATTTTCATAAGTAACACAGTTACAGGAAATAAAGCTAATTTATTTTTTTATATTATGGAAGAACTGTTTTTAAACATTACCCAAGCAAAAAGTTCTTCATTACATTTACAGGCATAGCTTTAATTTAGTTATGGGGCAACAATAAATAAATAAATAAATAAATAATAGCTAATGAATAAATATATTAGACTATTTTATTATGGCAACTAGTAAGTTCCCCATGAAAGCATCACATATTTTTAAGAGCATGTTGTTTCTAAATTTGGAATTTGCTAGATTTTCTACAAATAACACAAATATACTATTATTAATAAAAATTAATGAATTTAAATTAAGTGTTACTAAGCATATTCATAAGTAACACAGTTACAAGAAATTTAAAAGAAGAAATTATTTTGGGTTTATATCACTCATGGATAAGTAACTGAAAAAAAATTCAGCTAATTAATTCATTTACTATAACTATAATTCAGGATAAACTACATCATTCCATAGATTGGCTTTTGAGCTGGTAAAAAGAAAAAGCTACAGTTCAGATTTTTCGCACCTTATGAACAAGTTTCATTCCTGTTCATAATGATGTTCATACGATGAATGTGTAAAATGTAACTAATTGATAAATATAAATTTGTAAAACATAACTAATGATCTGCTATGCATATCTCCTAAAGATGCTCATGAGATAAGAGCTATACTATCAAATAATCAATTAAAATACTAGCAAATTAATCATGCATTTTAATTTTAAATATAGTACATTATTAATAAAATATTATTAAATAAATCAAGAACTACTTTGGATTCAAGGCATGTATGGATGGGGTGAGATTAAGAATAGTAATTCTTCACATGCGTGGAGATGAATCATATCTGTCTTGCCCACTGAATACCCATTAGCAAGCAAAGAGAATATTTCTAATGAGGAAGCTATATGAGAGGCAGAAGGAACTGCCATGTTAAATGGGCCAGTAACAACAATTTCTGGAGTATCGTTTTTAAGAAAATAAAAATCTAAACTTGTATGATTTTCTTTTTAAATTCAATGAATTGATTGCAAGTGAATATAGTTACCTAAAGAACTGTTATGCATATGATTGGCAGAGTTTGGCAACTTCTACTAAGATAGTTGCGATTATACAATAATCATCCAAATATCATTCTTTGAAACAAAAAGTTCGTATCTATGAGGTTTACACAGTGGGGAGCTTCTATATATAATATTTCAAGAGCAGAACTAAAGACCAGTGCTACTTAGAGAGTTAATATGATCTATAATTTAAAATAAACAGACAATACCCAAAGAAGCTTAAATTACCTTTAGTTTTAAATGTAGATGAAATTTTTTATTAAAAATTCAGTAACTTAACATACAGAGCTGAATAATTAATACTAACTTGCTTTGAAGAAGTGTAATAGCATCCTCAGGGATATCTGATCGGGTAATAAAGACTTTAGGCATTGAAGACATTTTCAAAATATTTAGCTTACTTTGGCTGCATAAGAAGAAATATATTTTTAATACACAGACAACATAATATCCTACAATACGACATACATCATATGCATTCAATAATAATACACATACATATATTAATTTCATATTCTGCAGTATAAGTGGGAAAAGAAAATAAAGTATAGGAAAATATTCTTTAATGATTAAAAATTACTCCTGAAGAAAATTACTCCCAGAGCTGAAATGAAAAGCAAAAGAAACTAAATGGAATGAAAAGCACATGAAAATGAAATGAAAAGCATTCACCTTTATTTAAAAGTGATTTTCAGGCTAAGTTTTAAAAAACAAAATATGAAAATTATTTTTAATAAAAGTGAAAATAATGATAGTAGATAGTAAATACTGAATAATAATGTATGACACAGTACAACTAGAATGAAATTCATATTATCATTAGTAAAATGCATAAATAATCACATACCTGTTTAGATTAATAGCATAGAGAAATTTTTATTACATAAATTTAAAATAAAGAAAGGTCCATTTAGAACTTACGTGAGAGATTTCATAAATAAATTTAGCTTATAGCAAAGATATAAATTTTAAACAACTTTACTTGGAAGAGAAAATCTGGTATCTAAATGATGTTTATTGTGCAGTATTTATGAATATTGACAGTGCTAATAAAATGAATTAGTTCTCATTTACCACACAAATCTTCCAATAATATGAGCTATTCTTATTCAATCAGTCATAATGAAGCTAGATCTAATTTTAGAAAGTTTCAAGCTCAGTCCCCAAATCCTAACAAACAAATTCGAAATTATTAAAAAAAAATAATAGGAATGAAAAATAATGTAAAAATGAAATCAGCAATAACTGTTAAGAAATAGTGTACAGTATATTTTATTCAACTAGGTTAGTGAGAAATCAAATATCTATATGCCACATATATGCTTAAAAACAGAAGTTTAATGCATAAATATTTAGGAAAGCTTGCATATTGGGATAAATAAAATAATTATTCCATTGTGAAAGACATAAACATATATTTCAAGGACTTAAAGGCAATAAATCTGCCAAAGCATATATACACTAGAGTGATGTTCTTTGAGACTATTTTATAGTGGAATTACCATATAGATAACTTATGATTGCTTTCATGTATCTATCCTATCTCAGTAAGAATTAAATTGCAAATAAATTATTAATGTTCAATAATTTTATTCAAGAAGAGAGGGAGTTTTACATGAAATACATGAGAGTGGAATTTTTACTACACTAATTTTCAATGATATAAATCAAAAGTGTTTCTTACACATATGAGAAAAAAAAATGCACATGCATATTTGGTGGTTGTGTGTGCTTAATATATGAGACACAAAAGCCGACGTCTGAATCGTGTAATTTTATGGATTTGAAATAAGCGGATTAATCAATTTCTTACATCAGAAGCACATATTTTTAAAATTAAATTATTACTTAAATCATAATTATAATAATATAGTGTTATGTATTCCACTAAGATTTTAAAACTGAAATTAATTTAATAATCATTTAGCGAAGCAACCAAAAAAACAAACTAATTAATAATTCTGTTATAACGATGACAGACAAATTTGTGTCCTCTTTCCGAAACAAGGAAACGAAAAAAAAGAAAATAATGATTTGAAAGCATTACACAATTTCACCTCTTACCCGTAAACTAATGGATGATTCACGACTCTCAGTAGTTAAGAGTTACGTTTTAATACCTACCATGTGAGTTTTAATTAAATAATTAAACTGAACAACTCTAAGAAAAACGGGAACAAAACAAAACCTATATACATTCTACCTGAACAAAGTACATTAAAAGTTCAAGGCCCAGCATAAGGAACTTAGAACTGCTAATTACTTACGTCAGCTTAGGTTGCAGATGGAAAATAACTCGTTTAAGAAACATATCACAATCAGGACATCTGAATTTATAGCTCTAAAGCGGTTATCGTAAACAGATAAGCAGCCGAATTTTCGCATATATATTCCTGAGAGGTGGAAATGCTGCTTCACAGTGTAATATGTAACTGTTAGCATTTATAAAATAGGAATATCTGTATAAATATTAATGAATATGATGCGTTTATAAATAAATATGATGTACTTATACTCAGCAAAAAAGGTAAATCAATGGAAAATTCTCAAAGATCTCAATCAAAAGTCAGTAAAAACATTAACATCATAGTAAAAATGAGAGTCGATTACGATTGCTACATTGAAATCAAAGAAGCTAAAGTTTGTATACATTGCGCAGGTTTGTTTTGTTATTTGTGTATCCGTTAATGTATCCGAGAGGAAGCTTCCTCGTATTTGAATCACTTATGGAGCCAAAAATTCGTTAGAAAAACAAATGTAGACGTAGTTTAATATTAATTCTTGGGTAAGTAGTAATGATAGTATGTATATGTATTTTAAAAAAGATATAAGTTTAAATGTTTCAGTAAATTCAACTGTTAATATTCAAATAAAATAATTTCATAACCAATTCTCGAGGGAATTACTAAATGAATATTAAAACTTTAAACCAAATCGCTGAATTTCGCGTTCTTTCAAATTAAATTTGCATCATGGCTTGCGAAAATCATCGAGCGATATTTAATTGCATTTCCTATTCTTTTTCATTGTCAATAAAGTGTTTTTGAGTCTTTCGTCCTAATTTTTCATTTTGTGAAAGTTAATTAAAAAGGTTTCTGAAAATGACATCGCTATTTGTTCATTTTTAGTTATTATAATTACTTACAGGATGTACATAATATTACTGATATATTTTTAGCACACGAGCAAAAAATTTTATTTTTCAACAAATAAAATATTTAGAAGTTGTCCACACATGTTCTGAAGGAACCTATAATTTCATGAAAGCATACTGAATCATCTCCTGTATATATAAGAGAGAGAGATGTTAAGTGTTTCTATCTTTTTATGCACCTATAACGAGTAGTAATTTTCATATCTAAATGAATGAGAATTTTACATTAAATTATTATGTTGTATGTAGAATAATTTAGTAAAAAATCTGTAAAAGATAGAAATTTCTAAAATATTTAGAAATAAAAGTTACAATTTTGGGATATATTTTTGAGTTTATGCTTTATTTATTTTATGAGTACTTTTCTATTATCATGACTGGATTTATAAATGTATGTATGTGTGTGTAAATATGTGCTTGTGTGCATACTTACATATGTACATATCTACTTGCATATACTATGTATGTTTTACTAAATCTGGTCCTGATAACAGAAAAGTATCATTTTATGAAATTCACAAGACAAATGAGAAACATTTGTATCCTTTTTTATGTTAGAAATGATATTTTATACAAAAAACAGATATGTAAAAACCTGTGTGTGTTTTATTCATTTCAAAATATAGTCTGATCCCTCTAAGCAAAGATTAAATTTTCCAAATTATTAAAAAGAAACACTGAAATCTTGCTTTTTCGTTTAATTTCTATTCAAGTAGCTATTACAGTAGGAAAGTCTTCAGTATTGATGTTTATAAATTCTTCTTAACAAGAAATTATAAATTCTTCTTAACAAGTCTTCAATATTACATTTTTTTTAAAGTGTCGTGCAAAATAGATATGAATATATTTTTGAGGCTATATATCTTCCATTTTAATTGCTGAATATAGTATTTACAAAGATATGAAGTAGTATAATAACCAATAGTAGTACAACAGGAAATTTACAGAATAATAATTTCACATATCAGTATAATAAGTCATTCATTTTATTGCAGGAAGGATGTTGCATATAAGAATGTTTGATGATCATATGAACTTGTTCAGTTGTTTCTGAAATCTGACTCTCGGGAGTTTTTTTTTTTTTTTTTTTTTTTTTTTTTTTTTTTTTTTTTTTTACAAATTATACTATTGGAATTTCGTATAATTTTTTTTAAATATATAATTTATCAGTATTAAAGAGCTTGAAACTAAAATTCTGTTTTCTGAAGGAAATTTAGTACATTTTTAGCTTTTAATTTATGCAGGAAACACCATATAAATTTTCAGTCTGCCATGTATGGCAAAAATGCATTTTGCACATTATTTATTTAAAAATCTGTATTTTTAGGGTTAATGTGTAACTCAAAACGTAATGAAATGATACAAATTTTATTTAAAAATTTCATCAAATTTCTTTTAAAATATTATTCATTTCAGCTCAGTAAAGTTGTCATAAATTTGGGCAAGCTGTTTTCTTATAGCTGTTTCTGTATACTTAACTTACATTTAAAAAAAATTGTTAAAGAAAGGGTAATATGTTTTATTCCCCTTGCAGAGTATTTTTATTATTTTTTTACGAGTTGTGCACTGTCATAAAATGAATGTAAAGTATTATGCCCGAATTTGAAGTTAACTGAAAATCAATCTTTTGTTTTATTACTTTTATCAAATTGCTTTATTTTATTATTTTTCTTCGGTAAATTTTAATTCATCTTTCAATAAGATTTGTATAAGATACTACTGGCTAACTAAATTTTTTTGTTTGCAGTGATATAAAATTTGAGCTTCTGTTTTTATGATTTTGTGAAAGACAGAGAGTTCTTTTTCTTTTTCTTAGATTTCTTAAAAGCAAGACTTGGAAAATTTGAAATTGGTACTAAAAATTTTCATTGCAAGCATATTCTACTATTTACTCTGCTCGTTTGAACTTCAACCATTTCTGTCATACATAAGTCCAATATAATATATCTAGTGGCTTTAATAAATAATCTATATCTGGATAAATAAAGCCATTGCTATTGTTTATTACTTATTAAGACAGTTGGTAGCTTTTCTATTAGTGATATGTTAATGACATCTTACGAAAATTTCTTGTGTAATGCTCATACTTTTAAAGTCGAAATACAATAACTTTTAATTATTATCCATAATCATGATGGGAAAGCCTATCATGAATATGGATTAGTATTTGAAACTAGGTCTTCAATTATAAGTATCTTAAGAGTTATCAATCCACATATACTATTTTTATGATATACTGGTTTGTTCATTTTTGGCTGGGCAATATTCCGTAGCTTATGAACTGTGAGGAACATTTGTTAACAGTTCCGAATTACTTCCTGCCTTAAAATGGTTTTCAAAGTCGATCATTATCAGTGGAATAGGTAGAAGAGGCGCGCCGTCCCGGGCAACATTTTTCGCCTGAAAAATTATTTGATAGAGGTTAATCATGTAGATCGTCGAGCAAACAAATTAAGAGATTCTGAATTGCCATTCGGAATTATATTGAGAAAGAAAAAGTTTTCGTTGATCTTTACATTATGGTAACTTGGCGTTTTTTTGGCGAAAATTTGGCGACCAATTCTCCTACAGCAACCCTCTATTTTTTTTTCCCGCCGCCATTTTGTCTTCACGAAGTAAAGACATGTTTCTTTTCTTTTTATCTACTGAACACTTCTTCCAACAATCCTTTATGTCCTCGCCTATTAAAGCCAATAGGCGAGGACATAAAGGATGGACGTTTTTCAGCACTTTTGCTTTGTTTCAGTGCTTAGTTCTTACGATTCACTGATAACTGCTCTTGAAGCGAGAGTGAAAACAGAACGAATCCCAGAATTCATAAAGGAAAATTAACCGATGTATTTAGAAGAGAGCTGAAAATAAGTTATTAGATTCAAAGGCATTCCTCAAGCCTCATTTCAAAACAAAACAAAGAGAGAAAAGTTTTCCTCATACTGTCACAAAAATAATCATTTCAGATTAGTGTTATCTAAAATCGAAAAAAAAAAAAAAAAAAAAAAAATATCCGCCAAAACTCGAAGAAAACATACGCGGATTCTAAAATACGCCAAGCAAAGAATGCGTATAACCTTGTGATTCAAGAAGAAACAAAAAATAAAACATCAGAAATCGAATCCAGAAGATGCGTGCCGACGCTCTGTCGAGTAACAACATCGTGCATCATTCAGCAAGGAGTTTTGTTTTTTGTAGCGATGCAAGTAACCACTTGCTAAGAAATATATCGCGGAGTTTGAACCCATAAATCCTTCAGCCTTCATAATTGCTAATGGACAAAGTCATAATCTACGGGGATAGGATCTGTTTCTTTTATCTGAAGTTTTATAATATCTTCGATTACAAACAAATTTAATTTCAATTTAAGAAAACAACAGAAAAGGGACTTAGTAAAAATCCTTTCCTTATTTCAATATAATATATATTGAACCTTGTAGGAAGAACAAAGCTAAATTTTCAGAATGAACAAAATACTTTTATTTGAATTTTTAAACAGAACCAAGAAATAAATACTGCAGCTCTTAACTATCAAAATTTTAAACTCTTAACTACTACAGTTCAAAACTCTTACAACTATTAAAAAAAACTCAAAATCTTAAACTCTCTAAACAAAAATATATAAAAATCTTCCGAATCCTCTTTTTTGTTGCCACACCGTAAAATGCAAGTTCTTATCCTATTATTTATATTTCACGTTCTCTTTAAGTCACGATCTTTACAAGTCATGATCTTTACAAGTCGACGGTCTCTATAAGTCATGATCTTTACAAGTCACGATCTTTACAAGTCACGGTCTCTACAAGTCATGATCTTTACAAGTCACGATCTTTACAAGTCATGATCTTTACAAGTCACGATCTTTACAAGTCCCCCCACAAGAAGCACATTCGTCACCGTAGAGACAATGCTGCTCAGAGCTCATTGAGAGAGAAAGAGTTAACAGCTAACCTTGACAAAGCATCAGCATTCCCATGTGAACTTCCTTTGCGGTATGTCACAGTCATGTTATACCGTTGTAACGCTAAGGCCCAACGAGACAATTTAGCACCATGAGGGGCGCTTTGGATCAAGTAGGTGAGGGGATTGTGATCAGGCACAATCTGCACTTTGGCACCGAAAATCCATGTGTCAAATTTTTTCAAGGCTTCGATAACACAAACTGCTTCTCGTTCGAAGGTTGACCATCGTTGTTGACAGGGCGTTACTTTCGTGCTGAAAAATGCTATGGGCATTTCTTTTGTAAATGGCTTATCTTCATTAACATTCTCACCTATAGTAGGCAATCCTAGTAGCTGTTGTTCCTTGTCATCTTTCTTCTCTTCTATCTTTCCAATGGCTTTATCGAGTAGCTCATACCATTCATCAATTGTTTCAGCTTTATCAATTTCTTCAAATATGGGATTTCTGTGCTTCGTGAAAGTCCTATAAAGAAAAAAATATCTCAGCAATTTTTTCTTCTGCTTTTTCTAATAATTCTTCATCAACATTGTAGATCGTCTACCTCGGGCTCGGGCTCTTCTATTAATTCAGCAGTTTGTTCCGTTTCTTTCTCGTCTTCCAGTTTTTCGCTGTCATCCGAATAACTTTCTGTTCAATCTTCCATGTTTTCACCCTTGAACTTGAAAGGTTTCTGTGGT